TTGGGATCCTCTGCAGCCTTTCTCTCCGGGCTACTTTGCCTTTGCTTCTTCTTCTTCTTGGGATCTTCTGCAGCCTTTCTCTCCGGGCTATTTTGCTTCTTCTTCTTCTTGGGATCCTCTGCAGCCTTTCTCTCCGGGCTACTGTGCCTTTGCTTCTTCTTCTTGGGATCCTCTGCAGCCTTTCTCTCCGGGCTATTTTGCCTTTGCTTCTTCTTCTTCTTGGGATCCACTACAGCCTTTCTCTCCGGGCTACTTTGCCTTTGCTTCTTCTTCTTGGGATCCTCTGGGGCCTTTCTCTCCGGACAAGTTTGCCTTTGCTTCTTCTTCTTCTTGGGATCCTCTGCAGCCTTTCTCTCCGGGCTATTTTGCCTTTGCGTCTTCTTCTTTTTGGTATCTTTTTCAGCCTTTCTCTCCAGACTATTTTGCCTTTGCTTCTTCTTCTTGGGATCCTCTGCAGCCTTTCTCTCCCGACTACTTTGTCTTTGCTTCTTCTTCTTCTTCTTGCGATCCTCTGCAGCCTTTGTCTCCGGGCTATTTTGCCTTTGCTTTTTCTTCTTGGGATCCTCTGCAGCCTTTCTCTCCGGACTTTTTTGACTTTACTTCTTCTTCTTCTTGGGATCCTCTGCAACCTTTCACTCCGGACTATTTTGCCTATGCTTCTTCTTCTTCTTGGGATCCTCTGCAGCCTTTCTCTCCGGGCTATTTTATCTTTGCTTCTTCTTCGTCTTGGGATCCTCTGCAGCCTTTCTCTCCGGGCTACTTTGCCTTTGCTTCTTCTTCTTGGGATCCTCTGCAGCCTTTCTCTCCGGGCTACTTTGCCTTTGCTTCTTCTTCTTCCTGGGATCCTCTGCAGCCTTTCTCTCCGGGCTACTTTGCCTTTGCTTCTTCTTCTTGGGATCTTCTGCAACCTTTCTCTCCGGACTACTTTGCCTTTGCTTCTTCTTCTTGGGATCTTCTGCAACCTTTCTCTCCGGACTACTTTGCCTTTGGTTCTTCTTCTTCTTCTTGGGATCCTCTGCAGCCTTTCTCTCCGAACTACTTTGCCTTTACTTCTTCTTCTTCTTCTTGGGATCCTCTGTAGCTTCTCTCTCCGGGCTACTTTGTCTTTGCTTGTCCTTCTTGGGATCCTCTGCAGCCTTTCTGTCCGGACTACTTTGTCTTTCCTTCTTCTTCTTCTTACTGGGATCCTCTGCAGCCTTTCTCTCCGGACTTTTTTTGCCTTTGCTTCTTCTTCTTCTTGGGATCCTCTGCAGCCTTTCTCTCCGGGCTACTTTGCCTTTGCTTCTTCTTCTTCTTCTTATTCTTCTTCTTCTTGGGATCCTCTGGAGCCTCTCTCCGGGCTATTTTGTCCTTATTTCTTCTTCTTCTTGGGATCCTCTATAGCCTTTCTTTCCAGACTACTTTGCCTTTGCTTCTTCCTTTTGGGATCCTCTGCAGCCTTTCTCTCCGGGCTACTTTTCCTTTGCTTCTTCTTCTTGGGATCCTCTGCAACCTTTCTCTCCGAGCTGTTTTACCTTTGCTTCTTCTTCTTCTTGAAATTTTCTATAGTCTTTTTCGCCGGGCTACTTTGCCTTTGCTTCTTCTTCTTGGTGCTCTGCAACCTTTCTCTCCGAGCTACTTTGACATTGCTTCTTGTTCTTCTTGGGATCTTCTGCAGCCTTTCTCTCCCGACTACTTTGTCTTTGCTTCTTCTTCTTCTTCTTGGGATCCTCTGCAGGCTTTCTCTCCGGACTACTTTTTCGTTACTCCTTCTTCTTCTTGGGATCCTCTATAGCCTTTCTCTCTTTGGTTCTTCTTCTTCTTTTTTGGATCCTCTTTATCCTTTTTGCCTTCGCTTCTTCTTCTTGGGATCCTCTGCAGCCTTTCTCTCCGGGCTACTTTGCCTTTGCTTCTTCTTCTTCTTCTTGGGATCCTCTGCAGCCTTTCTCTCCGGGCTACTTTGACTTTGCTTCTTCTTCTTGTTCTTAGGATCCTCTGCAGCCTTTCTCTCCGGGCTACTTTGCCTTTACTTCTTCTTGTTCTTGGGATCCTCTGTAGCTTCTCTCTCCGGGCTACTTTGCCTTTGCTTCTTCTTCTTCTTGGGATCCTCTGCAGCTTTTCTCTCCGGGCTACTTTGCCTTTGCTTCTTCTTCTTCGGATCCTCTGCAGCCTTTCTCTCCGGGCTATTTTGCCTTTATTTCTTTTTCTTGGGATTCTCTGCAGCCTTTCTCTCCGGGCTACTTTGCCTTTGCTTCTTCTTCTTGGGATCCTCTATAATTTTTCTCTCCGGGCTATTTTGCCTTTGCTTCTTCTTCTTCCAGGGATCCTCTGCAACTTTTCTCTCCGGGCTACTTTGTCTTCTTCTTCTTGGGATCCTCTACAGCCTTTCTCTCCAGGCTTTTTTGCCTTTGCTTCTTCTTCTTCTTCTTGGGATCCTCTGCAGCCTTTCTCTCCGGGCTACTTTGCCTTTGCTTCTTCTTCTTGGGATCCTCTGCAATCTTTCTCTCCAGTCTATTTTGTCTTTACTTCTTCTTCTTCTTGGGATCTTCAGCCTTTCTCTCCGACCTTATTTGCTTTTGCTTCTTCTTCTTCTTGGTATCCTCTGTAGCCTTTCTTTCCGGGCTACTTGGCTTTTGCTTCTTCTTCTTGTTCTTGGGATCCTCTGCAGCCTTTCTCTCCGAAGTTTTTGGCCTTTGCTTCTTCTTTTTCTTGGGACCTCTGCAGCCTTTCTCTCCGGGCTACTTTACCTTTGCTTCTTCTTCTTGGGATCCTCTACAGCCTTTCTCTCCAGGCTTTTTTGCCTTTGCTTCTTCTTCTTCTTCTTGGGATCCTCTGCAGCCTTTCTCTCCGGGTTGTTTTGCCTTTGCTTCTTCTTCTTCTTGGGATCCTCTGCATCCTTTCTCTCCGGGCTACTTTGCCTTTACTTCTTCTTCTTGGGATCCTCTGCAATCTTTCTCTCCGGGCTATTTTGCCTTTGCTTCTTCTTCTTCTTCTTCTTGGGATCCTCAGCCTTTCTCTCCGGCCTTATTTGCTTTTGCTTCTTCTTCTTGGGATCCTCTGTAGTTTTTCTTTCCGGGCTATTTTGCCTTTGTTTCTTCTTGGGATCCTCTGCAGCCTTTCTCTCCGGGCTACTTTGCCTTTGCTTCTTCTTCTTGATGGGATCCTCTGTAACCTTTCTCTCCGGGCTACTTTGTCTTTGCTTCTTCTTCTTCTTCTTGTGATCCTCTGCAGCCTTTCTCTCCGGGCTATTTTGGCTTTGCTACTTCTTCTTCTTGGGATCCTCTGCAGCGTTTCTCTCCGGGCTATTTTGCCTTTGCTTCTTCTTCTTCTTGGGATCCTCTGCAGCCTTTCTCTCCGGACTACTTTGCTTTTGCTTCTTCTTCTTCGGATCCTCTGCAGCCTTTCTCTCCGGACTACTTTGCCTTTGCTTCTTCTTTTTCTTGAGATCCTCTGCAGCCTTTCTCTCCGAGCTACTTTGAATTGCTTCTTCTTCTTGGGATCCTCTATAATCTTTCTCCGGGCTACTTTGCCTTTGCTTGTTCTTCTTCTTGGGATCTTCTGCAGCCTTTCTCTCCGGGCTATTTTGCCTTTGCTTTTTCTTCTTGGGATCCTCTGCAGCCTTTCTCTCCGGGCTACTTTGCCTTTGCTTCTTCTTCTTGGGATCCTCTGCAGCCTTTCTCTCCGGGCTACTTTGCCTGTGCTTCTTCTTCTTCTTGGGATCCTCTGCAACCTTTCTCTCCGGACTTTTTTGTCTTTGCTTCTTCTTTTTCTTGGGATCTTCTGCAGCCTTTCTCTCCGGGCTACTTTGCCTTTGCTTCTGCTTCTTCTTGGGATCCTCTGCAGCCTTTCTCTCCGGACTTTTTTGCCTTTGCTTCTTCTTCTTGGGATCTTCTATAGCCTTTCTCTCCGAGCTATTTTAACTTTGCTTCTTCTTCTTCTTCTTGGGATCCTCTGCAACCTTTCTCTCCGATCTTGATTGCCTTTGCTTCTTCTTATTCTTCTTCTTCTTGGGATCCTCTGCAACCTTTCTCTCCGGTTTTTTTTTGCTTTTGCTTTTTCTTCTTCTTGGGATCCTCTATAGACTTTCTCTCCGGACTTCTTTGCCTTTGCTTCTTCTTCTTGAGATCCTCTGCAGCCTTTCTCTCCGGACTACTTTATATTTGCTTCTTCTTCTTGGGATCCTCTGCAGCCTTTCTCTCCGGACTAATTTGCCTTTGCTTCTTCTTCTTCTTCTATTTTTTCTTCTTCTTGTTGGGATCCTCTGCAGCCTTACGTTCCGGGCTACTTTGCCTTTGCTTCTTCTTCTTCTTGGGATCCTCTGCAGCCTTTCTCTCCGGGTTATTTTGCCTTTGCTTCTTCTTCTTCTTGGGATCCTCTGCAGCCTTTCTCTCCGGGCTATTTTGCCTTTGCTTCTTCTTCTTCTTGGGATCCTCTGCAGCCTTTCTCTCCGGGCTACTTTGCGTTTGCTTCTTCTTCTTCTTGAGATCCTCTGCAGCCTTTCTCTCCGGGCTACTTTGCCTTTGCTTCTTCTTCTTGGGATCCTCTGCAGCCTTTCTCTCCGGGCTATTTTGCCTTTGCTTCTTCTTCTTCTTGGGGTCCTCTGCAATCTTTCTCTCCGGGCTCTTTTGCCTTTGCTTCTTCTTCTTGGGATCTTCGGCAGCTTTTCTCTCCGCGTTTTTTTGCCTTTGCTTCTTCTTCTTCTTGCGATCCTCTGCCGCCTTTCTCTCCGGACTACTTTGCTTTTGCTCTTCTTCTTCTTGGGATCCTCTATATCTTTTCTCTCCGGACTACTTTGCCTTTGCTTCTTCTTCTTCCTGGGATCCTCTGCAGCTTTTCTCTCCTAGCTACTTTGCCTTTGCTTCTTCTTCTTCGTCTTCCTGGGATCCTCTGTAGCTTTACTCTCCTGACTACTTTGCCTTTGCTTCTTCTTCTCCTTGGGATCCTCTGCAGCCTTTCTCTCCGGGCTACTTTGCCTTTGCTTCTTCTTCTTCTTGGGATCCCCTTCAGTCTTTCTCTGCGGGCTATTTTGCCTTTGCTTCTTCTTCTTCTTGGGATCCTCTGCAGCCTTTCTCTCCGGGCTACTTTGCCTTTGTTTCTTCTTCTTCTTGGGATCCTCTGCAGCTTTTTTCTACGGACTTTTTTGCCTTTGCTTCTTCTTCTTCTTGGGATCCTCTGCAGCTTTTTTCTACGGACTTTTTTGCCTTTGCTTCTTCTTCTTCTTGGAATCCTCTGCAGCCTTTCTCTCCGGGCTACTTTGCCTTTGCTTCTTCTTCTTCTTGGGATCCTCTTCTTCTTGGCCTTTCTCTCCGGGCTGCTTTGCCTTCGTTTCTTCTTCTTTTTGGGATCCTCTGCAGCCTTTCTCTCCGGGCTCCTTTGCCTTTGCTTCTTCT